CGAGAGCAAATGTCTTGTCAAGCCTTACACTGCCAAGGTGAAAGAAACTGGGGGTGGGGGAAAGTATTAAGTGTTTTGCTGCTTCTGCTGTGCATTTTCTGTGCTACGCAGTGACCTTGAGTCCTTGGGATCAGTTGTGAATCTCCAAAACCATCAAGTGAGACTCAAGGTCCTTTGTCAGATACTTTTGAAGATGTTGTCCCGTAGCAATAAGAACTCCCCCTTTACAGTGCATGGGACGTGTCCACATGCCGTGGGCAATCATCTTCCTGGGGCTTCTGGAAATTTCACAGAATAAACCAATAAACAATAAAATACAGAGAGGTAAAAACAAGCACAGCTCCAAGTCGAATGCCTCTTTAGTACTGTGGGATAGTTTGCTTATGCTAGGCCAGAAATGGTAAACCAATGAGAGTGTATTGCCCTGAAATTTAATTTTATATATTGAATGTTTGGGGGATTTCTGTTTAATTTTTTGTTTGGCTGGTTAGTTGGGTTTTTTACTACTCCTGTTAGAGTCCTTTGTTTTATAACTTGACAGAAGAGTTTTGCTCACATTAGACAACGGTGTATCCACTAGACCCTTTAGGGTTTAATGATCTGTAGGCAGCTGAGTTTGAATTTTTAGAGTAGCTTCTGAAATGAGTCATGTAAATGGCTCGTTCATGCACAACATCAGCCACTGACTGAAAGGATTTTCTTTCTTCCCATCACTTCAGCGTCACTGACAGTGGTCAGCATGTCTTGGTGCCCGGGTGAGCAGCACAGCCTTAACGATAGGAATATTTTACAGTGGAATTGATGAGTACAGACATGTCAAACCCTTGCTTTTTACAACCAAAGTTCCTTAAAAAGACACTTCCAGCCTCATCAGCCTTGAATGCTTGTTTTCAGTCTTCTAGGGGTTCTTGTGGTGGTCTCTGCAATGTGTGTGGATAGGATGGTATTTTTTTCCAGGATATTGGGCTGGGGGGGGGATTTTTTTTTAATTTTTTTTCCTTGCTATCTATGGAGAAGGACCTTTCCGCTCTAGGAAGGAGGCATGTATTCTGGAAGGAGCAACAGTCTTAGGAGCTGTTTTCCAAAGTCCCTTTAACCTTTTGGGAACTTTAATTGTTTTTTTAATTATTTAAAAGGAAAACTGATAGTGGATAAACTGAAACGTTCATGACAGATGACTAGCCAAGGCTGTAAATCCAGGAGGAACGCACATCATCCAGACTGTGAGGATTCTGGTCCATGCTGTAGCTAGAAAGTGTCATGCCGACAAATCAAACCATCAGGAAATCCTTATTTGCAGCCAGTCTGAAAAGTGAAGCTGTTCCTCGTTCATGTGTTCTTTTTTCAAAACCTCCTGTTGGGAGCTGAATTCTTGTTGTTTCATCGAGAAAACAATGTTCTCCTTTCCCTCCTCACCCTCCCCTCCCTCAGTAACTTTTGTGCGTTTCCTTCCTTTCTGTAGATGCAGATGTTCTAGGCAATACCACAGATGCACCTGCGTGTGTCTCTCTACCTGCGAGTGCAAGAATCTCATGTCATCTTAAAAAATACAAAAAAATATACAAAAAATATACAAAAAATATCTTTTTTAGGCCAGAGTTTTCTACAGGTATTAATGAATATTTTTCTTAATCCTTATAAGTTTTATGTGTTTAATATTTCTTAATACCGGTAGCATTAATTTATACTTTTGTAGCAACACAATATTTTTATAAACCGCCACCGCTGGCTTTGTCTTCATAATGGGGAAATGTGCGGGCAGCTGGCCCTGCACTATACCATGTACTGTATTTAAAAGGTTATCTAATGTCACACTTGCTGTGTTAATAAACAAAACAAAACCTGTTTGAAGTCTCATGTATTGTTGGTGTGGATCGAATGACTCAATAGAGAGCAATATTGCACGGGGTTGAGTTGCTGATTTTCATTGTGATATATGAACGCTTGAGGCCAACTCAAGTTCTTCTGATTTTTTCTTTTTAGGATTTTTTTTTTTGTTTTGTTTCGTTTTTTACAGCTAAATAAATTCAGTGCTGTTTGAAACTTAGACTGACGTCAAATGAAAAGGATTATTAAAAAAAAAAAATCAAGGTGTTTAAATGTTGCTGTTTTTACAAGTCTGTTGCTGTCTGAATGGAAATATTCCGCAAGAGAGAAGGAATAATTCCACTTAGGTTCCAAACTAGCTGAGAGCTCCAGGCCAGAGTTCAGTTATTTGGAGAGGTATCTTAGAGACATGTTTCTGCAACATTCTTTTCAGAGTTGATGCCAAGGCAGAAGACAAACTGTAACTGTAAGAAAGCATCCGTTGCTTGAGGATTTTCATGTCAGTGTTGTATTTATGGTTTTACAATAAAACAACCTTTAGGAAAAAAAGAAGTGTGTGGGGTTTTCTATTTTCCAAGTACATGTGTGGGACCTCACTCGCTACTGAGCGTCTCGGTTTGAAGAGAGAAAATACCTATTATTAAATCCCACAGGGCAGCAGCAGTCTCTCTGATGGACTTCATCAGCCGTGGGCTTCTCCCTGCATCCCTTGAACATGCAGCATTCACTAGAACAGTTTCTAGAGCATCCTCTGTCTCAAGCTTATCTGCCAGCGCAGCAAATGCGCTCCTCTCTCACCAGTGAGATATTTATATATAGCAGGAAGTGCTCTGTCAACCAAGAGTCTCTGGCCAGCTGGATGGGTGGTTGTTTGGCTTGTTGTAATGTGGTATCTGTATTCACGCCACCAGGACAGGTTCAGTCCAGCTGAATTTTATGCTGCAAAAACAGTGTAGGCTGATACCGGGCAAAATAGTCTTAACTGACACATGCCATATTCCTGTTCAGCATAGCCGGAGGTTTTCCCTTGTATCAGCAGATTCATCTGCCAGCTTACTTTCGCCCTGGGAGAAAAGAAACAAGCAGGCACTCAGCAGGCACGAGCAGACTCACTTCTCTTTCTACAAGACAAGGTCATTAATAACTATTTGTCATGCCAAGATATCACAAGGCACAGAAGTCTTTGCTTTGAGACTAGGTTAGTCTTGACCCGTGGCAAGGTGTCTTGGAGGGTCCAAAGAGAGGGTAGTGAAGGGGGATCAGCCCGGCAGCTTGGCACCATTAAGGACCTTATTCGGAAACTACCTCCTGGAAGCCATCAGGAAGTCACTCCACGCCAGCAAACACTGTGGTGTTGCCAAAACATGAAAGTAAATGAAAGTAAATGAAAGTAAATCTTTACTTGAAAGTTAGCTAGGAAGTCTGCAGTGAATTTGTTGGCTGGGAAAAAACAGAACCCAAAGACATTATATGAAAATAGTTCTGGTAATTGGGTAGAATTATCTTAGTCAGTCAAATGTGAGGATGAGCCACAATAATAGAACTATCAGAATGTAATATTAAGAATGGATGCAGTTTTGCAGCAGATTTTGTATAAATGTGTGATTTCAGTAAACAGTAAGGTTAGATGCCCCCACATTCTAAGCAGATGTGGGTTACAGTTTGTTTGGGAATCTAAGTATGTGAAGAGGATAATATATAGCTAAAAAGCATACAAGACTGGAGGAGAGTCCTCTTTGGCAGGCCAGTGTCTCCTGGCACTGAATTGTCCTGTTTGGTAGGCCCTCTTAAAAGAATGAATAAGATTGCAAGGGGAGCATAATAGGCTTAAGCTAACCTTGTTGTATTTCTCAATTCTAGTTTTTGCCTAAATGAGAAAAAAACATTTTGGTTTTAGTAGCAAAGGAAGTGTTAACTCAGGATTCAGTTTTTTGCTGGAGGTAAACTATAGTTTCCTTTAATTTCAGAGGGACTGATGAATCTAGCAAAGCTTATTTAATTCACCAGCTCTAAACTGATCAACCACAATTTGTCTTCCTTGGAGTTCTGTTCATCCTGGGATCCTCCATGTGGGAGTATAGTGAGGGATGGGGAGCCCAGCCCAGGTGCGTTGCACAAGGGAAAGAGATATGTGGGCTGTGCAAGTAAAGCCTCTGAACTTGAGTGTGTGTGAGTGTTGACGTTGTGCCCTAGCAAACGTGCACGTGAGCAATACATCTTGCCCAATCCATGTACTGTAACGTCTCTGTCCTGATAACTGCAGTTTCTGCCTCTTGCTCCTTCTACATCTACCTTCGTCCAACTCTGTCAGGGTGCATCATGGGCCAGTTGCTCCATAAGGGATGGGAGCTGAGTGGATAACTCAACCAGCAGGGCAGGGCCCTCACTGTCCAGGGCCTGTACCACCACCTGATGTGGGATGTGCAGGGCAGACTGAGATCATGGTCAGGTCCAAGAGTCCAGATCATCAGGCGGGTTTGTGTGGGTAAGGCAGGTCCAAGGTCAAGCCAGGATGTCAAGTCACAGGTCAGGACCAGGTCTGATGAGAGTAACCGGGGTCAGACACAGCTTGCAATGGCTAGGCAGGGCTATGAGGACCGGGACGAGCCGAGGTTGGGCAGGGCTGTGGGGATGGGGGTGGGCCAAGGACAGACCAGGTGGTCGGCCCACAGGTCTAGGTTGGGATTGGTGGGGCCATGGTGGAGCTGGAGACCGGCATCGCTATGGCATCATTGCGGCAGGGACTGATGGCCCTGGCTGAAATGGGGTCCTGAGCCCTGGACAGGAGTGTGGGGGTCCCTAGTGAGGTTGAGCAGGGCCATTAAGGCTTGTTGGTGCCCTCGGGTCACTGAGCAGCTCAGGATGTGGGCCAGGTAGTGCTCCTTGTCCAAGCTGCCTAATGGCCCTTGCTTGGGATTCCCTGTGACTCCTAAAGAAGGACAACACGGGTAGGCTATAGACTCACTTCTCCCATGCAGGGAACCCGCCCGCCCCTCCCCTGGGACATTTCTACACGTGGTCTTTGTATCAACCCACATAAAATTTGTCCAAGTACAGACACTCCCTTAGGTTCATGCCAAAAAGCAGTGAAGAACAATAAACTACAAGCATGAGTTCAGTTTTAAAAAGACTTTAATAGTGAAATATTAACAGTGCAAAAGCCTGAGGTGAAAGGCAAAAGCATGACTAGCAGGAGGAGGCTTGGCACAGTTATCCAGGGTGCTGCAAGGGTTTGAGAAGGACGGTGCACTGGCAGAGGTCTGCAGTGGCATGTTCCTCATGCTGGCTCCTGCTTTATGGGTTAATGTTGAGCAAGGAAACAGAAGCCTCAGTAACGTGCAAAATTCACAAGGCACAAGCAAGCACTGTCCTGCCCCATCGGCACCGTGTGCACAACAGCAGCAGCAACAAGCCTATTTGGAAAACTCCTTGATTTGAGCATTCAGTTTTTCTAGCTCTTGGCATAAAGTAACTTTGAGACAGTCTGAGTCTTGCAAATACAAGGCAGACTCTTTCCATAGAGAATTCAGGTTTCTTTAAGGCTGTGCAACAGGGCAGAATTTCACCCTTCAATACAGAGCACTTACGCACAAAGCACAAGAGAATCTAGAACAGTTTTAGCCAGATTTGCAGCCTAGTTGTCATGCATTAACTTAATTTTTGATCGCAGCAACAGTAAGTGATACCAGTGGTCTTACCATGAGACACAAATTTTTACAACCAACTGCATACCCATGGTATTGCTGGAATCCAGGTTATATTAAAGCAGGATCTTATTCACATCCATGACTCACAAAACTTCTCTAAGAGACTTGGTCTTGTTTTATCATTGGCATAGTCTCCCTACTTCCCAGCTAGGTGTAATAGCTGCATGAGGAATTCATTCATGCAGAGCTCAGTAGGCCCTAGGAAGCCCATGGGTATGGTAAGGGCATGTCTTCCTTGCATGGCAGGCAATTAAAACCCCTGACTGCTGCCGGAGAGAAGGAAGAAGGCATACGTCTGCAGGCCTTACAGTCACACCTCTGACTGCCGTGTAGAGACTGGCCAAGGCTTCTCTAGAGAGCGGAACCCTGCCCCAGCCAAGGTGATGGTGCAGAAGCAACAGCAGGCCTTGCTAGGAAGGGAAGCTTCAGGTAAGAGAAGGCCATGTGAAAAGAATTTCATATGATTACTTGAAGGGATGGCAGCAGTGAGAGATAGGGACATTTTAGAGGGAGGTCTGTCTATCTTATGTTCACACTCGATTCACACACTACAGTGCAGATGATATAAAAGCAAGCACCCTTTGAGCTTTGATGACCTGAGCACGGAGGGGACCTCCAGGGCTCAAGCTCTCCTCCCTATGCTGGTGCCTGAATTTATTATATTAATCAGGCCTGCCCAACACTGCTGCCCTCCAGCCCAGGTGGGCAGGAGCCACCTGACAGCTTTTGGCCACCTTCGGCAGAGGGAGCAAGGGCCTCACCAGTCCAGGCCCTCCTGCACCGTGAACTTCATGCTTTTCTCGCTGTAGAATTGAGCGTACCAGCGTCTGTGCTTTTGGATGGTGGAGTCTTCTTTTACGAGGAGGGGCTTAGGGAGATACTGCTTGTTATTCCAAATGGTTATATCGCGTTCAAACTACAGGAAAGAAGGAGGGTCACATTCAGGTGAGGAAGGTGAACTAACATGTGGATTCTACCTGCACACTAGATTTTTAACATTTCTCCCAAATGACCAGTGTAGGACTGTTTATATTATTGCTAACTGATAACACTACGGCTCTCTATCTGCGCGTAGCAGACATATTTGCCCCCTCAAGCTCCAAAGGAGAAGCCATTTCCAGCTTGGACAGTGTCTACATCATAGATAATACTGCAAAAGAAATGGTTGTGAAGTTGGAAGCTGCTCCACCTGAGATTTTGAATTGTTAGGCAGTATATCTCCACTGGTACGCTCTTGTGAAAGCTAACCAGGAGTTTATAAATTAAACAGCCACGTCTTGAAGTCTACTCAGAACCATGTTATAAGGTTTATGGAGTTTTCCTTTGTGGAATCTCTGCAGAAATGAGTGCTGATCATTCACCTTAGTAAGAATGCAAAGTATTAAGCCAGTATTTATAGAATATGAGCTAGCAAAGCTAAGTTTCATTTTTATTTTTAGTGCCAGTGAAACTCTCACCGGCCAGACCAAAAAGTTTCCAAGCTTTAACAGTGACATCAGAAGGGCATTTCATGAACTATTCTGATAGCAGCCTACAGCTACTTGAAAGGGAGTTACAAGGATGACGAAGTCAGATTCCTCTTGGTAGTGCCAGGTGTTATAACAAGGAGTAACAGCCACAGACTGCAGAGGTTCAAGATGGGCAATAGGAAAATAAAAAAAAATTAACAAGGTGGGTAGGGCAATAATGGAACAGGTCACCCAGAGAGATGGGAGGCATTCTCCAAAATACAGGGTTTTCAAGGCTCTTAACTGAAGCTAAACAAGCACATGTCTGACCTAACCTTGGCAATAGTCCTGCTCCAATTGGGATACTTGGCTGGAGACCTCCAGAAGGTCCTTCCACCAATTCTGTGATTCTCTGTGGTAAGGACCTAGAAAAGCTCTTTTGGAGGGGCAGGAGTTGCCAAAGCTCATGACAGTTTAACAGTAGGAGGATTTCTTGGCATAATCCTTACCAAAGGGGAGAGGCTGTCCTTAAAAGTACTAGCCTGGGATGGAGGAAATCTAGATTCAATTATTAGTTCTGCAAAGACTTCCTGCAGTTTGGGAGAAGTTGCTTCAGCCTTGTGCTTCAGTTGCCTGTGCACAGGAGTGGGATAGCACCTCTCTCTGCCATCTTCTTTAACAGATAAGACACCGCAGGGACCCTCTTTACATGGGAAACAGCTTCAAAGAACTCCAGTTTGATTCTTCGGGCTACTAAAACTCGGAGATCATGCTGAGCACTGAAAGGATCTATCCCACAGCTCTTTGCTTAGGCATATATCTAAGCCCAGATAGGCAGCTGCTCTTCCTCCTCAGTGACTCCTATATGCTGAGCTCCAGAGGCCCATCTTTGGCTAGTCTTCTTCAGAAACCTTACCTGTATGCACTCTGCTTTCAGGATGAACTTGGGGATTATGGCTGGCATGTTCTTCTGGTAGTAGATTTTGTGGACAACGTTCTGCAGGAGAGGCTCCATGGGAGTCACAGTCTGCAAAATGATCCCATGGCCCAGGAAAGCATGCTCAAAGATCAGGAAAACCAGTCCTGGCCCAACCTGCCGAATGACAGCACCCTTAGGGAATATTCTCCAATGGTCCAGATTTCTGGTTCAGCAACTCCTGCAACTTGAAACCTGCTTAAGATGTCAGGATATGGGCTACACAGAAAGACTGAGTATCTGCCTCATCAAATTCTTGCTTAGGTGGGGGTCATCTAAGCAAGGTGGCAACAGGAGTACCTCCTAGAGCCTTTTCTCTACTCCTCAAAGCCTGAACACAGCTGTGGCACAGAAGGGCAGTGGGTGAGCATCTCTATCCTGCCCAGTGCATCCCATTTATGCAGCCATTGCCTGCTCTAGCTAGGACTGGAACAGGACACTTTCCCAGAGCAAACCCTGCAGAGCGAGGCATTAGCATGAGGCTCTTGCCACACTGCCCAAGCCTCCACCCACTGACGTTGTCACACAAGCTTAGAGTGCGCGCTAAACTTCTCAGCAATCCAACAGGAGACTCCGGAAAAGTTTCTCCAAGACGAACTGCAGGACCCCCCTGGTTAGAGCTTTTAGTGTGGAGGGTTCCTAGGCAAGATCAGAAAGGAACACAGCAACAATGTAATATCTCCTGGGTTACACATGATACGGGAATTCCCAAAATTCCAGTCATGCAGCTTGTGCTCAACACAGAGGAATACATGATTAGAACTATGTCCTGCCCTTGACCTCTTCATAAGTTACCTCTCTGCTTTTGACACTGAGGACTGACCATGTTTGACCAGCCAAAAAGACTGTTAAAAGTAGGAATCCTCACTATTTGAAATGAGGGGGCCAGCCAAGGCTGGTACAAGAGGCAGAAGACACAAGGTGCCACCGACTAGCTCTGCCTCGTACCTGCAGCTGCAGCGGTTCCAGCCCTGGCTGTGCTCTTGTGACACAGTCTCCATGAGCCTGATATGCCAAAGCAGCAATGAATCTTTTTACAAATATGAAACATGGTGACAGGTAATTAAAAGCTACCAATAGAGATTAAATGGCAGCTGAGGCCAGGCACCCCTGTCTATGGATCACTGAACCATCTGCTTTTCCTGGTATCTATGCAAGGTGTTTGACAGCGTATGTTGCATACCTGTCTGGCTGAAACAGTCAAATCCAGCAAGGAGAAGTGTTTCCCAAACACAGTTGCACTGTGTTTAAGCAGCAACTGGGAGCAGTGCTTGTTGGGCTCTGGCTCGGGCTGCCATTCAGCCTGAAGAGAGAGAGAAATGACTCAGTCCCAAGACCCAAGAAAACAGGAGTCCAAACTAAGGCAGGGTGACCTTGATCCCAAAGGAGGTAACACCAAGACAGTGGTAAAAGCAGCTGGCTGTGAAGACCATCTAGAGATAAGCACAAATGAAAGCGGGCCTCAAAGTCTCACAGAGAGGAAAAAGAGGCTTATTCTGAAAACTAGGGGATGTGACAGAGGCGATGAGGCAGGACTCAAGGATTAAGTTTTGAAGCAGAAAGGGGACCTGACTCAGAAGACTTCCAGCTAATAGGCTAAAAGGGGAGTCGTAGTAAGTCTATTACCTTCCAGACATGCTTCATAAAATCCCACAGCTTGGACTTGGTATATCTCAGATCAGTTCCACTCAGAATAGCTGGTCCATGGAGAAAAGTCAGATGGGCTGCGTCAGCTGCATTCTCAGGGATTTCCTGCCATTGGGAAACAACGTGCAGTTGTCTGATAGCGGGCTTGGATACAAGCCACCTATATTTTCAGATATATTTAATAATGGTATTGCAATAACATCAGACAGAGTGTTATTACAATACGGATCAGGGCATATTGTTCTAACCACAGCAGAGACGCTCTCAGGTATAAAACATAGCAAGAGAATGAGGCGGACAAGTGGAGGAAGGAAGGGGTCTCTTAGCACACCCTGACTTGGGATCAGTTTTTAACTAGTGTATGGGAATAGTTTAAATGTGTCACTCAGAAAATTCAGGGTTGATTTTAAGCTCAAAGAAATCTAACCACGTTAACATTTGCAACCATAGGAGTAAGGTACTTAAAATGAGTCTTTGTATCTGGCCCTGCAGCAACAGTGTTGTAAAGAATAAAGCATTTTTGTGATTGTGCTCCTGGATTGGAATTCACATATTTTTAAACCAGTTTGAACCTTTCAACCACACCAGCCTGCCCCCATTATGCCACTTCTTTTTAAAAAGTTTTAACTGCTTTTATTATCAAATATGCCAATCTTTTACCGTCTTGACACATAGCCCAGAATGGCCCCAGAATAGAAGCCATGGTGTGCACATGGTTTGCACTGAAAAGCAGACATGAAATAATTTTTACTATCCCATCAGTGTCCCCTGTTCTCCCTACTTCTCACACTCCCTCTGCTCATTCCTAAACCTGTATCTCCTATGTCACTTGCACCTTCATTTCTTTCTAATCCGCCCACCTTTATAATGGTTTAGTAAGTAGACCAGGTGCAGCAAAAAACATTTCCGGACTCATTTTCACTGAGAGCCAATAGAAGCAACAGACATCTTAAAGAAGGGCAGCTCTACTTGACACATTGGCCAGCATATGATGATGGTTATAAACAGCAGATTAACAGCAGAATAACCACGATCTTCCATTCCTGTGATCATTCAGTTGAAAAGCCTCTTGCCACTAAGTACTGCAAATTCTTACAGAATCTTTTTTAAAAATTAAATCGCTTTTAAGTCAAAGTAAATTAACAGATTCACTTGAAATACACAGTACATCTGTTCTTTATTCCAGAAGTACATGTTCTGCGTTTGGAGAACATATGCTGTATTGTCTGTATATATCACACTGATATAATTCTAGCTCTAAACTCTGCTGGCAGCATTGGGTCTGCCTGGTGGCACTGGGCAGAGAGCCAGAGCCCCGTTAATCGGTAGAGTTGTACCTGAATTGGGCTACACGAGAGGACACCAGTAATGGACATGGCCACACCTCTACACGGTGCTGCCAACTCCTCTCTGCTTAACCATGGAAGATATTTTTAAGAAGGAAAGGGCAAGAGGTGCAAGTTATCCTAAACCGCAGGCTCATGAGTTGTAGTTGAGCCCTCTTGCAGCTTCCTTAGCACATGATTTCTCATGAAGGGATCAGACCCTTCCAAACTCCTTTACCTGGATGTGTGCCTTGATGAAATGCTCTGTTTGCCCACGAAACACCCACTCTTTCATGGTGATCTCCCGCTGCTCGGGCACAGCCCATGACGGATTGACTCCGTCACAGTGGTACCAGATCAGCAGCATCCCGTTCACTTCGCAGGAGGGCCAGGTCCGAACCTTTGCAAAGTCTGGCACTGTAGAAGAAAGCAAGCCATTAGTTAAAAGAGGTGTTTCCAAGGCTGACGTTGTTTAAACATCACCTTGTCCTGAATTACAGCTAAGAACTCATCTGTAAGGATGATATTAATGTGACACAGGCTTTCTAGGCACGTTAGTAGATTTTCAGTATACTGATCCTCAGCATAGGATCCTGAGGCTCCTAGGAGATTGTTTACTTGCATTTGTTTTATTTCAGCTTAGTATTTTGCATAAGTCTTTTACGGAATAAGCTGAAAGTATGGCTATTTACTCTATAGGCTACTTCTACTACTCTTAAAACCATTCAAATTAGCAAATTCGTGCTGCATCAATGAACCCTCCTCAAGCTTCAGTAAGTTAAAAGGTGATGTTTTTAGTTATAGGCATACTGAGCGTAAAAGCTGTCTTTAACTCCTGAGTTCAAGTCATTCTCTGTTACAATATTATAGCATCATCTGTTGCTTTAAGAATATATCTACATTTTTTCCGATGATGAAATGTATTTTTGTATTTACATTTACCAAAGTGTCAGAACATTTAGCTTCTTAATGGATGGAAATCCTTTGCCTTAATTAACTCTTTTTTTTTTTTTTTTTTCAATTTGCAAGCAAGTGCAGAGAGACTCGTGCTTCCTTATTGTTCAGCATTATAAAATCAGTTGGGAGGTGAAATAATGGGAGATCTTATGTTTCTTTTTCAATCCGTGAATGCCAAAGGAGGCAGGAGGAAAACATCGTTGTTACTATTTCTAATTGAAAATCTGGTGATCATGATGGGGCAGTGGGGGAGGTGGGATATGCATCACTTTTAAGGGGGTCTTCATTTGCCCCCATGCCAACGTCTAGTGCCAAATTAGGCTCTGTGACTCTCCTACCTGGCTGGAGGCCTCCTGAAAGCCTGGTGCTGCCTCTGCTGGCCCCGGGCACCCTCAGCATTTTGGGCTGTGGACACTGCCCCTTTCTGTACCCTGCCATGCCTGAGGAATGGGTGCAGCTAACCCTGGTGCCCTGGGCTGCCCTCAGGCCTGGCAGCAGCGCTGCCCATCCAAGTGCTCCAACATACCTGTCTCTCAAAGTGACCTGCATGAACACAGATGGCTTTTTAATCTGCTTAAATCAACCTGACCCATTTGCACTGAAAGTGGAGCAGGGCAGCTGTTTGCAGTTTTGCACTTCTAGTAACAGCAGATAACCATGCCATTTAATAAAGAAATGTCAAGTGGAACAATGCATTTTGGCAGGCATTTGACTGAAATATTCTTTGTCCTTTTATAATGAAACACTCTTTGCTCATTACTTGGAATCAAATTTTCATTCAAATGCAGCTCCTGGGTAAATATGAACAGAAAAAATACGGTGTTAATCTTTTTTTTGATAAAACAAAAAATAGGCATTATTGCTTGGTGAGATCTGTAAATTGTTTATATTATCACATATGGATAAAACGTTTCTTCTACTTTGAGAAAAATGGTCTGTTTGGTTGAAAGACTGAGTTTTGCTGCTAATTGATATTTCCATTGCTATCTTAATCAGGGAAAGTTGAACTTCTTTAGGAAAATATGTAAGAAACACAAGCCAAAGCAGAATTCAAGGTATTTTAAATCTGCTTGCTGATTTCAGTTGCACTTAAAATTAGTGCTTTAAATTAATTAAGGAAACCAGATAAAGTGATTGTTACATGTGGACTTTATGTAAGATATTCTTCCTACACAATGCAGAGTGCATTCAAAAGGTAGGTGTGTTTGAAGAGCTTTCCTAGATTCTAACTGAAAGACCTCTTTAAACCTAAAAAGGAGAAAAAAATTGCCATTTAGAGATTGCGCTGTCATGTTACAGTGACAGATTCAAGCACTGACATGGTATGGACTATTACTGCAGAGTAGAGAATAAATTCTGAAACCCAGCAGTTCCTCAGGATCCATCACTCAGATGCTTTTTTTTTCATGGCTTGCAGTGAAATGCATAATTCAGAGTTAGAAATGTTCCTTTGCTGATATACTACTTGCTAAATACAGGAATTGCAAGGCTATCAACATTGAAAAAGGTAGTCATTTAACCAGATTAAAGTCCCAGTTATCCTCTAACGTATGAAAGTGCACTAGAAAGTACAAGGACACAGACAACTCAAGAGTAAAATTAGGGCATTGCACGAAATAGGGGAACAGTATGGGGGGTGAGTTACTATAAAGACTACATTTCCTTCGCAGAGTGTAAGGACACACTGGGCAGCCATTACTGTGGATGCATTCTGCAGGTCTGGGGAGGGTTCACCTTTTTCAGCATATGGGATGCTGGTGCATTTTCCGTCTTTGCCTCGAAACTGCCATCCATGAAATGGACATTCAATGCAATTGCCCATGACACGACCACCCATAGCAAGGTTAGCACCGAGGTGAGGGCAGTAAGCGTCGACCACATACGCCTGTCCATCCTGGGTGCGAAATGCAGCAAGCTGTTCTCCTGAATGTCAAGGCAGAAATATGAGGTTATAAGGTCATCAGTGAAAACAACATCCCCATATGAGGCAGTCAGGTAAGACGCATATTGCTCACACCCTTCCGAACGGGCAGCAGAGACAGGTAACAGGAGGACCATGCAAAGGTTCTCAGACAAAGAAGTAATATACATATTTTTTAGTTTCAGTAGTTCCAGTTCTGTCAGATTTCCCTGGCTGGACTGCCTTGGATCATCAGCAGAGCTGAACCCAGCTCCGTCCTAGTATCACAGTTTGCAAAAAGACTGTGCAGTCAGCAGACAGCAGACCAACAGGCTATTTTAACAAACATCTGCCTGTGTAAAGATATCCAGAAGTATCCGGAGGGAAAATACGATGTTTAAAAATTATTACTGGAGGTTTCTAGAGGAAGAGCAGCTGCAGGACGGAAATAGGGTTATTCCAGATAAGTTATTCAGCCACGAGATGGCACCAGGCTGCTGCCAGAGCCAGGCTGCTAGTGCCCAGAGTTGAGGGTATAAGAAAGACACTGTACAGGGTCTGGGGAGACATTCCCAGATAGAAAGTCCTTTCCTGGCAATTGGAGGCAGGAGGTATTTGCTGACTGCAAAGAGAGTCCCCGTTGGCATGTGGCAGATGCTACAGCAAACGCTTTAGGTTTGGTGGCCTTTGACTCACGGTACTCATTTAAAACACATCCCATCGCAGTGACCAGTCAGGCCATGGGCCCTTCACGCCAGATGTTTCCACCGCTCCCTGCAGCATGTTGGCAGGCCGCAGAGGTGGGTAGTCAAGGTGGCTTCCCAAGGAGGCTGCTGGAGAAACTCACCTCTGCTGAGGCCATTTCTTTTCTCCATGCAGTGAGGAGCACAATTTTGCCCACTCGCCTCTAAAACCTCACGCCCTAACCCTCAGCCCTAGTGTGTGAGCTCTTGGAGCCTGTTTCAGCTGTGGGGTAATAGGTGTCGCCACACATGTTTAAAGTTCAACAGTGTTCCTCTGCTAAAGAAGGGCTCCACACAGAGCACAGCACAGCCAGGTGAAGCAATAGCTGCACTTAAAGAGAAGCCCATTCCCATACCTTCACTCGAGAAGTGAGGCTTCTGTCGGGGGCCACATTTGGTGAAGGGCATCTAGAGGAGAGAGTATGGGCTTACACATTTTGGAGAGTTTTAATAACATTAGCTGAAAGGAGTACCCTCTTATCTGTGCCAAGGTGTGCTTTTGAACTCCAAGAGCCATCTGCATTGCAACTTGGCGGAGTATCCCATTCCTCAGGGAGAGACAACCAAAGACCATAAGCCAAAACACTGACAACTTTGCAGCAAACGGAAGTTTTCTAGTTAAGCAAAAGGAAGCACCTGACTGTTCTGCTCCAGGCAGGGAATGAAAGGAGAGAGCTGGAGCTGACATGGCTGGGCTGGACTGTACTGCTCTGGCACTCAGCCTGTCTTTTCTCTATAGCTGGACCCGATTCCTTGTGCTTGCTGAAGCAATATGAGATTTGCTGTCAGTGTTCAGTTCTGGGATCTCTCTCGCTCTTCATCCCCGCCCCCAGGGTAGCATGGTGTTAGCTGAGCAAGAAACTATTAAAGAGTTTGCTTTGACTTATGGAGAGACAGAGAGTACTTGCACAATAGCCGTGAGTCTGTTCATGGCACTGCTCTTTGCCCAGCTGTGCAAGTTAGCTATCACTGCATTGCACACCACAGTATTGGCTAAATAAACACTCTACCTAGAGGGACTGAATACATGCCAGGTATTTTCCTGGCACTGGCAGCTGTTTTGAGACAGCTGCACACCTGCGAGTGCTGCAGTACTGAAGTCTCTGCTAGCATGCATGACGTGCAGAGGCCCTAGATAGGAGAGCGGTTGTTCATTGGTGATCTGGCCTGAAAGCAAACCTAGACCTGCCCAGTGGCCACATCTGTATGAACAGACCCCAATATGCTTCTGAGTGCCCAGGCCAGCTGTGTCCCCTTCCATACCAGGGCACAACAGGACGGGACCCCACACCCCTCCCTTTGTTCCCTCCAACCCCCCATACTGCTTTGCATGAAAGGAAACCCTGGTACGCAGGCAGATAGAGCCATCTCCGAAAAGGTGCTGGATCTGGATGCTCACAGGACAAGGATCTCAGGTGCATTGCATAAGGAAAGTACAAGTACAACTTTTTAATTCAAGTACAGCCAGACCACAGAAACACATACAATAGAGGCTAGGTTCCCAAATGCCAACAAGTGTTGATTTGAGATCAGGGCTGCTCAGTGAGGTCTCTCAGTGTAGTAGCTTAGGAAGCAAGAACTTATTGCAGTCACTATTCTTGCTTAATGACTGTTTGTGCTGAAGCCTGAGATTCCCCTAGGTCACCTCATGTGTTACTTTGTAAACAATAGGCTGTGCCATGCTATGGAAAGGCCCCATCCCTGTGCACTCACCTGTCCCTGGGCGCTGTACGTGGTTTTAGGACTGCACCCGCTGTCTGCTGTAAGAGGAAAACACTGCCTGCAAACGCCGCAGTCTGCAGAGTGGTTTGAACACCGCTTCCCCTCTTACCAACCCATTTGTGCTCATATGGCTGCTGCACCTGGCAGAGCAGCACTTGTTCTGTGCTCTCATCTCTTCTACAAAGATGCTGAAGCTTAGAAACACCCCACATGGTTTCTTTTCCACACATTAGACTGTGAGCACCACTTTCTTGGCCTTCTGTTCTCCCTGGCCATCCCTTTCTCCTGGCCCCAGGAATTTAAAATGCCGGTTATTTCAAAAAATAAGAATCGCAGAAAAATGAAATGATTATAGAAAAAAAGTGATAGAATTATTTTAAAGAAAGAGAACTTAAAATTGTATTCTTACAACAAACTAGCAAGTTCTAGTCTATGCAATCAAAGCACCCTCTTTGCACAATAGATATCTTTCTCAAGCTACTGACACTCCATGCCAACCTGATCATGGTCATTTTCCCCCACTGGCTAAGTACCTACCATACCCCGTATCATGATGTCAACATATTTCACAAAGATCATTTCCCCCTAGTCCAGACGACCAGATGACAAAAGGAAAGTATAGCTGATGGTGTTGTTAACCTGCAAACTACTTATAAAGAATAGCACTTGACCGTCTTCCTTTCAAGGTGCCAGGATTCATGGCCATTCTGATCTCCAGAGAGTTCCAGGTTTGCAGACAGGCAAGCAAGGACCCAGCTCTTTAAGCACATATATTCCCTGCTGAGGTTGGCAGGTGCATTGTAGTAGTGGAACACAATGTGTTGTGTTAGTCAAGACCGTAGAGTATCTGAGCTAATGCACAGAGAAGAGAATCAAAACTTTGAATCAGCCAGCAGAAACCCAGCCAAGAAGAACAGGGGGCTTCTGTGATCAGGCTGGCCAGCATCTCTGAACCACCAGCTGTTTTAAGGATTGGAGCTTTCCTCTCCTTTTCCCTCCACCTACAATAATTAACTGAAAATCTCCAGAAACTGTCTCTTGGGGCATTGTGTATCCTGTCTGATTTGAAAATGACACTGCTGCTCCCCAGCAAAGGAAGCTGAGCATTGCCAAGGAGTCAATGTTTTCTTCAAACACAGCAGGAAAACACTCGAAGGTGAGTGCTTTGAGCCTGGGCTTGTTCGTATTTTTCTACCGTAAAGGAGAGACAAAGAGAACTAGCACTACTAAAGGAATCCAGTTAAAACCCAGGGCACCCTGTCTTCCATACTAAGCTTCAGGCTTGCACAAATGCAATTCCATCAGCTTGTGAAATCTGGTTACTACAGTGGTTGCTGTAACTTAAGGTTCACTCAGTGAGAAATGAGGGCCAACTAGACTTTGGGAGGCAGATTCTGTCCATATTTTCCCAGACAGCCACACTGATGACAAAGGACAGCAATGTAAGCATGGCACTCACAGCTGTGTACAGGCACTGATGTTTTCCTGTGAAATAAACCTACTTCCAGTGCGGAAAAGAAATTGCTACTTTTGCCAGAAATAGCACATGGCACATAAAAATCCCCAAGGCTACCATACAGTTCTGGAGTTCTGGCTGGGAACACAGACTTTGGGAGATAGCAACTTGATGGATCCTCTCAAAGTCTTTCCTGCACAGGAGCCACACTGCTCACCCTACAAAAGTATGGCTTCAGCCTGGGGTCTGAGCAATTGTAGCTTCCACTGTAAGTCAGAGCAGTTTCATCCATAGCAAGAGCCTGGACAGCAGTGCTGCTTGGTGCCTATGTAGATCAAAGCAGCATTCACCCCACATTTACAATCCCAAGAGAGAATGAAGCTTTTCTGCATGCTCAATGGCATATTTTTGAAGGTCTCTAGTCTCAAAGGTTGACTTTCGTAGAGAGGGTCAAATGAGTTTTCCTCTTTCATCTCCTCTCTCTCACATCCTCTCGAGCAGGCTCTCATTTCCAGGCTGTGCTCAGACACTCTATCCAAAGTGAGTTAGATATGCACAAGCCTGGAGGCTATGGGTTGTTTAACGGTCTTCTTTAATGATCAGCCTTTCTGACACCAGTGTGCTATTGTCACTCTGTGACTAAAAGTGTTTTTACAAGCACATTTTAGTCAGATTCTGAGAAATGGGCTCCAGAAACCAGGCTTTGGGCAGACAACCAAGAAAGGCCTAGTGTAACAGACAAGCTGGTGGTGGTTCTCCAGGACACAAATATTGAAATGAATTGTTCCCATTATATGAAAAGAACTTAGGAGAGGAAGGCTCTTGAAAACACACCCAGAAAACAGCACTCCTTAGTAGTGAAGGGTCGCCACTGAAGCAGAGGGATTTTAACCCAGAAACATCCCTGCTGAGGAGGAAGGCACGCACACAAGCCCAAACCCATTGCCAAGACTACAGGACCCTGCACAAGCCCAGCACCCCTCCGAAGGCAGCCTGAGTCCCCCCCACCCCATCCCCCAGAACATGGGGGGATGCGGGTAGCAATAATGCTCAGGAAGAGAGCTCAGGCAGCTAAACGTCCTGTACGCTGGTGGGGACCCTGAGCGGTGATGCCCTGATACCCAGACAGGGAGCCCAGGCAGTGAGATGCCCTGCATGCCAGCGGACAATCTGGGCAGTGATGTCCCCATGCCTCAGGGGGAAGTCCAGGCAGGGAAGACCCTGGCAGAACCTGGACCAGGATGCCATGGTACCCCAGGAAGGAGATCGAGCTGACATGCCCCGGTACCCCGGCAAGGGGCCCGAGCGGGGACGCCCTGGTACCCCGGCAAGGGGCCCGAGCGGGGACGCCGCCGAGTCCCCAGCAGAGAGCCCGAGCGGGGATGTCCCGGCGGGGAGGCCGGGGTG